AACAAACAAAATATCAAGAAAAATTGTGTATGACATTTATCATTAACTAAAGCTATTAAAATGTCAATAGGAAAAATGGGTCATTACTCTAGCAATATAATCATCAATTTTTTTGTACTTACCCTTAAAATCCACATTAATATAAGAAGTAGAATAATGCATATTGTGATAATCCACAACATAATATAATATAAATTAGAAAAGATGATATTCTATGCATTATGTGAAAATAACATGAGATGAAATTTAATTCATCAATTGAAAAATCAAAATTTTAAATAAAAAACAACATCAGAATAGAAATAAACACAAGAATAAAGCAATATAGTAAGATAACATGATAAAATGACAAAACACGATTATACAAATATAATATCTTGTTCCAAATAAATTCAAGAATCTATAAAATAGCAAACCAATTGAAAAAACAGTCATCTAAATTATAATGATGAAATTGTGATACAAAATAGCAGAACAATTGAAAAATGTAGTCATCTAAAATGATAAAGATGAAAGTATATGATTCAAAATATCATTATTAAAATCTTATATAATATTATTATTGGTAAACAAAAACAAAACAAAATAAAATGGTACCTGCATACTGCCTAAGTAGTCCCATCAGAAGGGAAGCAATTGGTGAACAAAAAATATTTCTCCATGACATAAATAGTTAGAGATTTATAGTAACTATGAAAGGAGATAATGACTTCATCTCCACAATTGATTTTGAGATAAAAAAAACATTTAATGTCATAAAAGAGTATAAATAATAATTAAAAGAGAAGATGAAAAGTTGAAGAATTGGTCATGATCTTAGTCGTGGGGGGAGAGGGTGGGTGGATTGTTTTTACCAATAAATTTAATAAATTAATTACAAGTGATTATAGATAAAGAATAAACATTAATTAAAATATTTAGACAATTAAAAATACCCAAAAGAAAAAGAAAAAATGAATGGAGGCCATAGAGAGGTGCCACATCACCTTGCCTATGTTCCTCCTTTATATATATATATACTAGAAGGGCATGGCCCGTGCTTAGCACGGGCCCAACTTAGTAAGTCTGTTGTAAACAGAGTATTGATGGAACTTATTTCAACTATATAAGCCACAATTTGCAATGAAGCAACTTATTCAAGTTATGAATGATTTAGTTAAAAGGGATGATCTAGTAAGTTAGAAACAAACGAAATTCAAAAGAAAAAAGAAGTATTCTAGCAATTGCAATGTGTCCCGGGAACATCAACTCTTCAACTCCTTCGTTGCACATATTTCCTTTTCAGTGCCTGGACATTGCTATTTGTTGTTCCTGCAAATTATTGAAAAGGAACACATCAAAAATAGTTGGGTCATGTTCCTATTAAGATACCAACTTCACTATTTACACAAATTGCATATTTACATCAAGATGGCAAAATCAAAAGATTTTAGATACAAGTTAAGTAGTTCTCTTATGTTTAAAGGTTGAAGTTAAAATGTAAGTAGGCAAATTCAGATAAGTCAGGTATTATACATGTTAGAGAAAATAGATTGGCAATGTCAAATTAATAATAATGGAAAATGTACAATAATGCGAAGATCAATATGCCATACGGAAAATGTAATGGAAAGAGCAGACTTACTTGTTTGAGAAATGGTCAGAGGATTTTATACTTTTTCCTTTGTTTAAGCTATCTTGGGGTTGAGTTGGTCGAACTTGATGACTGGTGGCTGGCAAACAAAATACAAAATATATTTACAGACAGACTCGGTCAGTACACATTGGCAGATGGAACACATTGACAACATTAAGTTAATAAAAGAGGATCAGGTAGATGGGATAGATCAGAAGATGCCGGGAGATGTGCGGCAACCTTTTATTCCTTCTTTTTATAAATTCCCACATAAACAATGCCTACCAATGCTGAAACTCCATCCAGTGCAACTGCTGCTATTACATCTATTATTTTATCTGATGAACCTGATAAGACACTTATAAAAAAATAATTGATACGCTTAGTTGGTGCAGTCTTTCCATCAACAGATTGATTTGAGAGCAAAGAGGAATTTCTTCAGATACAACACGCCTACAACTCGATGTTCAACATATATAGCTTTATCCACCATGAAACAATATAAATACTTACAACAAATCATATGATTTCTCATAAACAAAAACAAATCGCATTATTGATGAAAAAGAAATAAATAGTAGTACCCCTTGACTGCTAATAGTAGTACCTCTTGACTGCTAGCAGAATTATACCATTAGCTTGATTATCATAAATGTTATAGAAAGATAAAGCAGTGAACTCTAGTTAGTCTCCACACTAACACAAACTTGATTTATAAAATTCGAGTACGTCATATTTTTGAAAAAAAAAAAGTTCAAACTTAAATATGAAAATGTGTAAATGACTAAATGTTTATAAAATGCTATCTACAACACCCTCCACAACTTTAACCATCCAAAATTTATCATCCATTTGTTTGTTTGCTTGTTCTTTTCTCTTATCCTTCTTTTTTTTTTTTTTTTGGAATATTGTAAGATATATTATCTTACCAAACTTCATTTTACCAATTTCTACCGTTATAAGAAGCCACTCATTGTTTTTCGATATGTGTTCTGCAGTATTAAAATAAATTTTCACACTCAGGAGTTGCACCGGTCATGATGACTTTCAATCCAAAGGTCAACGAAAAGAGTAGTACACTTTCATCAGTGAAAACTTTCAAAAATCACAACCTAAACAATTAAAGAGTATAGTAGAACTTCACTTGTGCAGAAGCTAGATTAAAGAAAACAGTACCTGAAATAATAGCAATATCATTCCTAAATTTCTCAAACGTCTTTCCATAATCTTTAGAAAGGAAGCATTTCAAAGATTCTAAGACAATTTCTCATAGTTTTTTGTTTCTGCTGTCGCTACAATCTGCCAAAAAAAACATAACCCAAAATCAAAAGCCATGTTCTTTCCTTCAATATCATCAAACGATCCACATGCAAAAGCAAGTACCGAAAAATTCATCGTACCAGAAACCATTTAGATTGAAGCAGAGGAAACTATTCATTCATTAACTTAAGCTCATCTTACAATGGTTTCATTGTCGATCTCCGAAAGAAAAATTGCTGATGTGATTCCATCTGGTGGTTGAAAGATACCCAGTGAAGATCCTACAAAGAATTAAATAAAGAAAATTGAAAAAAAGTACTCTGTTTTCAGAAATCACCAGAGAGCAATTGAAACAATAGGTGCATTACTCTATTTTCAAAAATACTCATGCATGAAGCAATAACGTCTAATTGAGTTAACAAATGTCAGAGTATTCACATAAGTGTAATAAGATTATTGTAAAATCTTTACCTGGGTTATCAAGGGACATGCCATACCTTCATCTGACACGACAATGTAGGACTTTTCACAGTCGATGATACCTTCTTCATTCTTTGGAGGTGTGTTGATGTCTTTTCAAATTTCCACTTCCACATATGAAGTGGAACTCTAGGATCAATTGGAATGGAGAACAGTAAAATTTTAGAACTTGGTGCTCGAAATCTAAATCGATGTTTCAACATTATCTAATAACATATAAGAACAAAGGAATTATATTACTCTCTAGAATAAAGAATCATGTATTTTGTAAATGAACCAAAGGAGAAGATACAAGGATAACTATTAAAGCTATATTGTGCTGGTCCAATCAGCTGATTAAACAATGTACAGTCATGTCTCTAAAAAAATTCCTAATAGTATTTTTTTAAGAAGTAAAATTTCATTCCTCACCTAACAATAGAGTCACCCACAATACCGTCGAGTAACTTCAATTCCTTGCTTGTTTATTCCTACTGAACTTGAAAATGTCCGTAGCTGCATTTGGAGAACTATTAATAGTGAGAAAGAGACCTTTATGCTCTTCTTTTTTATTATTTTTCTTCCAATTCAACACATCTTCTAAAAGTTTTAGTTAAAAGAGAGAAAGAGAAAGGAAAAACAGATTTATATTAAGATAAACCATTTGATTAATAGCTTAAACTGAATAACAATGTCAATTCACGAGTGGAATATCACATCGACAACATTTTATTTTATTTTTGTAAGTATACATAGACAATATTCACAACAATTTTTCTTATAAGGAGTAATAAATTTTGTATTGATAATTGAGCAGAAAACAACCATATACACATGTTAATAACACAAACTGAATTCACCTTAAACATACCATCCCTAGAGGGTAATAGAACATATTTTACTTCCTTCATTTCAATTTATTTGTATCACTTTTCTTTTTAGTATGTTTAAAAGAATGTCTTTTTACCTTTTTAGCAACTCTTTAGTTCTAACTTTTCACATGACATGTTAAAGACCACAAGATCAAAAGGGCATTTTGGCACATCTTATATATTTTTAGTTTAAGACCATAAAATTCAAGAATCTTTATGACTTAAAAAAAACACACGTAAAACATGAATTTCTCCTTTAACATGATGCAATTAGGCAATGAAAAACACACAAAAAATCATATAACATGCATATAAGAGATTCTTCTCATAAAACATCAGCTTCTAAAATATAGCTACTAAATAATAAAGCAAGCTTTTAAATTCAAAAGTAATTATCAAGATTAACATATTAAACAAAAACCATAACAAAATTCTGAAAATTGGAAGCAGAGAAGAGCAAGTATTATCATACCAAAGATTTTGGAAGTTGCTCCTAGTCTAAGTAAATAGCAAAGAATGATGAACAGAGATTGCCATATGTGTATCTCCTCTAAGTAGCAAATAGAACATGTATTATCTACTGAATGAAGCATTTGCAATTAGCAAGTAGTACTTGTTTAATGAAATGAGCCCAAATAAAATACAACTTACATTACTTATGGTACAAGTATTTACCTTTAATTTCTTTATATAGAAAAGAATGAAGGACATAAATTCAATTTTTTTTACAGCCATGGACTCTTCCGGTGCTTTAATCCCAGAATCCTTCTTAGTGTTCTTTGAGTAAACCTAAAACCTTCCTCAACCTAGACACCCGATTCTCTTCAAAGTTTGATCCAGAGATCAAAGAAAAATTGCAATGGACATAAAAACTAAAAAAATATACTACGGCATAAAAATGATATATTGTGAGAGATTGATATTTACCTGCAAGTGCTTTTACTAAATTATCTTCTGCCTCTCTAAGCTCAGTTTTCAATTTTCCCAAGATTTGCAGCCATGCCGAAAAGCATCAAAGCAAAAAAAACACTTAATTAGTAAGATTTACCATGAACATGGGCACCCAAAAAAATTGATTGTTTTTTAAAATAGAGTTCAATTCAACCCCAAATAGAAAATACCCTTCAAAGACGGATACTTTTAAGAATGTCTGTAAATGATAAAGTTTGACATATTAAATTCCATCATATACAGAATGTGCTGGTAGTAAAACTCAGACCAAATCATTAGAAAAAGAGAACATTGTGGATATGAAGAAATCCCAAATGTAGTATTTTCAATTTACCCTGGAATTGAAGGGTTTCTTGAGCTTGGAGGTTGGTTGAATCCAAAGATTTTCGAAAAGAGATAGTGCCTGCATCTGTTGTTGAATTTATAAATCCCTATTACATGTTAACCTAAGTTGCTCCATTCTGTTTAGTCTAACATTTAGGGTTTACAAAATGAAAATTTGGTACTTGTCAAAATGGTAAAGATAAATGAAAAAAAAGAAGAGGAAAGACCAAGAAATCTATAGCATACCCAATTGAATTTTGAGGTCTTTGCTGGTATGTGACAGAAGAAATTTTTTGTTGCAACTTATCAATACAAAATTGAGACGGGTCTACACTCCTGGGCATAGGATATGAAGAAGAAGTGGGTTCAACATAAGAATTCTGTCCATGCAACATACCTACAGCCACCTACCAATAAAGCAACAAAAATTGAAAGCAATATCAAAACAATCGAACATAAAAGCAACAAAACAAGACAAAGTTTAACCCAAAATCCTGGAAGAAGATGATGAGAAACCAAAGAAAAACAATGAGAGCAAAAAGGAGAGAAAAAATAGAATAGCAAACTAGAGAAGAGATGGAAGCTTACCTGGAAGGAGAGATTGCAGGGAGAAAGAATTTGAGATGCTTTGGCATACGCATTGTTTTGGTAGAAAAAAACAACATATACACGTGTTAAACAAATAGGCACACAAAAAGATCAACACCCAATGAAATAGGTACACATTTATAGTGCCACTTAAATAGCTTTGTGTACAATACTTAATTGCAGTGTTAGTCCTATTGATATATATATATATATAGATTATGTAGAAATTTTTATAAGGATACTATTAATTTTATGATTATTTTTTTCTTGATCAAATATCAAAATGCTTCCAATATTTGTATGTATTAATACTTTAATTCTTTTTATGTCGTTTGAATAAAAGATTATGTTACTGATTTATTAACTCTAATATTCCATCTGAAATATTTGATATCATAAGAATAAATGACATGTAATGCATTTTCTATATATGTTTTATTCAAAATTAAAAGATTTTCAAAATATTTTTTTCCGTATTAAATTTGTGTAAAATATAATAGAAAATTGATTTAAAGGAACAAATAATCTTAATTAATACAACCATCATATTATATTTACTCAAAGTATGTATTAGATATTTCAAATTTGAATTTAAATTGTATCAGAAATGAGAGGTTGTTGATTTGAACTTTATCCGCTAAAGCATATTATGTGTAATTATAGTTATCTTGAAGTTTAAAATAAAAAAATTAAATTGAAAATTCAAAACTTTACCATATATTTTAGAATCTTAATTTTCAATTTAGTTTAATGTTGTTATATAATATTGTGAATAGTCTTAAATTTGCTAAATTGACTTATAATTGTGATATTATTCAAGATAGAATTTAACGTTTGCTAGATATAGATAAATATTATTTATCTTAAATTTGAAAGTTTAAATTTTTATTTATTATAAAATTATTTTCTAATTTTGAAATTGGATTGTCCTCTTAAAGTAACGAATATATATATATATATATATATATTATCGTGTAACACAAAATTCAAAAGACAACTACAATTACATAAATTTTAAATTGACCTTATTAATTTAAAAGATAATCACAATGAAGCTTATAAAAATATCTCAATTAAAATATAAATTAAGATAACTATAAATATAGAAAATAAACAAAAAAGAAGAGCAAACTATGTTTTAATGGCTAAAAGGGAGGTGCTTTTAAGGATAAGATTAATTACCTATTGTTTAAAATTTAAAATCCAAATCAATTATTTATTAATTTTGATAACGTTTTATATAATTAACAAAAATAAAAATAGCAATATTTCTTGTTTCTCTCCCTACGCAACCCTAAATTATTGCATTATTATTTGTACATACAATTATCTGTCAAATATTTTGTGGAAATATAGTTACAAGAAAATAGGTTAAATCTATTTGTGTTTTTAATTTATGTAAATGTAAACATAAATATATAGTTCCTAAATTTTAGCAGCATTATTGGGATAGTTATATATGCAGTTTAAACGTAGGAAGTTTTTTTCAAAAATAAAATAAAATAGTATGATTATCTTTTTCTTTATTTTTTGTTTAAAATTATAATATTTTCAGATTTAAAATATTTTAATTTCAGATTTTAAATTATTATTTTTTAATTCAATAAGAAAATGTTTTAAAAGACTCAATTGTGCATAATTATTCTTCTCCTTTATACAAATATTTCAAATTTAACATATTTTTAATTTTAGATTTTAAATTAATATGCTAATTCAATATAATTTATGTTTAAAAAGACACCATTATGCATGAAATAGTTATTTAGCCACATATTTGTAATTAGTTAGTGAATAATATTTTCCTTTTCTGATTTTATCTTCTTATCTATTTTTGTGCTAATTAAAACGTATTCTTATCATTTAAAAGTATTTTTAGATTCAAAATATTTTTCATTATTTAAACTAATAACTTTTAATATATATCTATAGTTATTTAATTTTTAATGTTAAAACCGATCATTCAAAAATTTTATTTTTTAATCTAAGTATTTACTTAAAAACATATTTTAAATTTTATTATCGAATTTAATGTAATTTAAGTGATTGTACTTTGAATGTATATATTTAAATAATTATTATTATTTGAAGAAACGATAGTCTTCTTGATTTGTTATATTTGTAGTCTTCTTGCTCATAACATAGCAACACTCGTTATTTATTGCAAGCACACATATACAATTTCAAGAAAACTTTAATAACACTAGAAATATATATATTAATATAAAGGTATATAACTTAATTTAACCCCTGTAGAAGATAAAAACTGACTTTGCAGTTGTTAATTTGCTATAAAAAAAAGTTAAAAAAAGAAACGTGATTTAAATATTTTTAGTAGTATAGTTGTTTTTGAGTCTGTAATGTTTTAATTTTAACTTGTTAATTTTTTTTTATTTACCATTTAAAATTAAAATACTTTGAGTTATGAATTATTTAAAAGGAAAAAGAAAATTCATATGAAAATACCTATGAGCAGTAAAATGTGGCACAAATTTAGGCTTGTTTTACATTTAGAAATTAAATTTTAGTTTCAATTATTACGCTTTCATATCATTCCAGATTCTTCGCAAAACATTTTTTTCTATTTTTCTAGTTTAACTGTTTTTTTTTTAAAAATTGTTTGTATGCAAAAATTTGTAATTGTGTGTATATATTATAAATTTACTTTTTAGTTTGAATAATTAATATAAAAATCTTCCAAAAATAAAATAAAAGAAAGAAGAAAAATAAAAAAATTGTATTGATTTACGATTGCACGTTTTAGGACTGGAACATTAATGTGCAATTAAAATTTTAGGGATAAGGGTCTGAAAAATACCCCAACTTTGGTTGGATTTGTTGTTGCAATACTAAACTTTCATAAGGACCTATTACCTCCCTAGACTATTTAATACCGTATTTTTTACCCCCTGAACTATTTAATAGTGTATTTTAAAGGTATATATGTGCCCACATGGACACATTACTATTATAATTTGCATTATTTTTTATGTTCACGTGGGCAAATATATATATGTTTAAAATACGGTATTAAATAGTCTAGGGAGGTAAATAGGTCCTCATGAAAGTTTAGTATCGCAACAGCAAATCCGACCAAAGTTGGATATTTTTCAGACCCTTATCCCAAATTTTTATAATATAGTTTTTTAAAACAAATGGTCTTGATTTTTGAAGATGCGTTTTTATTATATAAATTTTTCAAATAGTTGTAACTTTTCTGATAAGGCACAATAAATATTTATTCACACTACCCTTTGTTGTCTATAAATAGAGGGATTTCCTCATTCTAAAACAACGAAAATTCTAAACCTCCTCTTCTTCTTCTTCTTCATCATCATCATCATCATCATCATCACAATTAAATATTCGTGTACTTTGCTTCTGTTGAGTGGCTCACTGATATCATTGCTTATGTTACAGATCCTGGTATGTATTTTTACAATCATTAATTTATGCTTATGTTATTAAGGATAAATGATAAGATGGAATAATTTTCATTTTTCATATAATGTTGTAGTTTAAATATTATTTTATAAATTCCGTGATATTTAGGCCCGCCTACGTGGCTCCACCACAAACCAAAATTTCCTCTTAATTTATTTATTTCCAAAACTAGCCTTCCCATTTCATGAAAAGTTGTGACTTTGATGAAAAGTTGCGACTTTAATGAAGTGTTGCGACTTTTATGAAAAGTTGTGACTTTTATGAAAA